GGGTGACCTAGGCGGTGGTGCCATAGAAGAGTCTGGTGCAACAGGGAGCGACACTCACAGGGGGAGGCTATCTGACCTGACGCAGACACCTGACGAGTACCAGCTACCTGAGGAGGCGCAGTCGTCAGTGTGTAAAGACTCGACCCTGGCCTACGGATAAACGTGGTCAGGTGGCGGCCGATCTGGGAGCACGTACAGATCGCCACATGCTGCCGACCAGGGGTAAAGGTGTCAACCCCCGCATCTTGGAGGGCAGCAGTGCTCACCAAGTTCGTAGAGAACGAGGGGAGGTGGAGACCTGACAGAGAGCCAGACGGAACCGGCGGGCACGGGAGCACAGTGGTGGATCGTGCAAGAACTGGGCCCCCTGAGGGGTCAGCTAGAGAGACTGCAGCAGGTGCAGGGAGTGGTGTGAGTGCAGTACTATCAAGTAAGAAGTAGCGGGAAGCACCCGAGTCAAGCGTGAAGGTGTGCAAGACCTCAGCAAGCGCAGTACCTGACAGAGCAGACTCGCTCGCACCTAAGGCAACAACCTCACCAGCACCTTAAGTACTAGTCTCTATACCAGGGTCTATGCCCTAGTTAAACTTGATCATCCTCGTTTCAGTTTCGATAACACACACAACTATCAGTCACCATCAGCACTAATCTCCAATGCATACATGGCTGTAATAATAGCGTCATAGTCAAGAGCAAAGATGCTTACACCAGCCCTAAGTAGCTCATACCAGCGAGGGCGCTCATAGTCCTCGCCCATCTCCTCACGCCATGCGTCGTCAAGGCGAGAGAAGCAGCGGTGCTGGGTGTGGAACTTCCCGCAAGTCTGACCCTTGCGGTCACCTGTGAGAATGATATACATGCAGCGACCACCACCCCCAGACCTCCCACGCTGAGCAAGCCACTCACGAAGCTGCTGGGTCGTCTGGGGACTCTGCTGCTGCTGCTGCCTCTGACCAGCGCCCGTGCCTCCACCCCGACCACTACCCCCACTGCCACTACCGCCCCGGCCGCCACTGCTGCTGCCTCCACCGCCACCGCCGCCGCTGCCACCCCCTCCGCCACCACCGCCTTCACCGCCGCTACCAACGCTACCACTCCCGCCAGCACTCCCGCCGCCACCCCTTCCTCCACCTCCTCCTCCTCCACCGCCTTCACCACCACCCCCCGGTGCCACCTCCGCTACTCTTGGCTCAATTGCCCTTGCCGCTGCGGCGCCTCCCATTAGGAGCAGAAGCAGCACCAACAGACTCAGCACCAAGGTAGTCAACAGCAGTGGTAGTAGCGTAGGAGGGGGCAAGGGGAGAGGGAGAGCACCCCTCAAAGATGGGGGTGCGAGGAGCGCCACGAGCAGCACCTACAGCGACAATGCTCTTCTCTGCTGCAAGGAGGTTTTCCTCTAGGAGGTCGACAGTGAGGTCGGTGGGACAGCGAGCGAGAAAGTGGTCCCTAACCGAGCTAAGAGAGTCAAGGAGACGGATGACTATGAAGTGGAGGGTCCAGTACATCGGAGGCGGGTGCTTAGTACATAACTCTTTGGGGAGGGCGGCTCGAAGGAGGGTGTCGCTAGTGCGAAGGTGGGTAATGAGATCGGCAACTGTGGCAAAGGTTGACAGCTAAGGAAACACGTAGGGCAGCATGAGGCGGCTAAGATCAACTGTGGCAGGGGAGGAGTATCGAGCAACTACAGCGTCGTTCAGGGTCTTAGCAGTTTTGTACTCGCCAAAATGCGTGAGCTTGGCTAACGGAAGGTGATTGCGAACGGCTAGGCGCGCAGCAGCATCACGGGTCTGCCACTGAGAACGGGCGCTAAGCTCAGCAGTGGCAGCGGGAGCGACTGAGGCACCAGACGTGTGGTCATAGAGCGAGGCACTGTCCTTATCGCTCATTAGGAACAGCTCCAGGTCATCTAGCCAGGTTTCGAACTGAAACGGGCGGCCCTCAGCATCGAACGACAGAACTCGAAGGGTGGCCATAGCTGCTGGCGCGGGACTAGCAGGGCAGAGCGATTGCAGGCAAGTAGCAGTAGCAGCAGCACTAGCACTAGCAGCAGTAATAGTAGAGTGCAGCAGTAGAAACCGATCTGCCAAGCAACTAGGCAGCACGGCTCGGCTCTGGCACTGCAGCGCGGCTCGGGCGGTGCAGCGCGGCTGCAGAAGCGTAGTAGTGGCTGCAGCAGCAGTGCGGGCGGCGGGTGGGCGCAGCAGGCAGCCGCGGCAGCAGGGCAGGTGGCGCACGGGGCTGCAGGGGGCCGGCAGGAGTAGCTGCAGCAAGTAGCAGTAGCATCAGCAAGGAGGAGCAGCAGCAGCAAGAGGGAGCAGCTGCAGCAAGTAGTAGCAGCAGCAGCAACTCTAGTGCAGCAGCACGCTAGGATTTCAGACAGCGCATGGGGTTACAGGCGGCCGGCAGGGCAGCAGGGCGAGCCGCACGCAGGGCCTAATGGGCGGCTGCAGTAGCAGGGCGGGCGACGCCTAGGTGCAGCAGGCAGCCGCGGCAGCAGGGCAGGCGGCGCACGGGGCGACTAGCGGCCGGCAGATCAGCAGGGCGGGCGGCGCACGGGGCTGCGGGGCAGCGCGACAAGCGGTGCGTGGGGCGTAGCAGGCAGCCGCGGTAGGAGCAGGCGGCGCACGCGGCTACAGGGCCTGCGAGGCTGCTGGCGGGCGGCGCGCGGGCCGGCAGGAGCTGCGCGCGGGCTGCACGGACGGCAAGCGGGTCGCGCGGGCTACTAGCGGGCGGCGCACGGGCCAGCAGAGGCGACTAGCGGGTCGCGCGGGCTACTAACGGGCGACGCGCGGGCCGCACGGGCTCCTAGCGAGACGTGCGCGGGGCTAGGGCAGTGCAGGGCGCGGAGTAGCTCGGTAACCGCAAGTGGTAGGTGGTGGGCCCGAAAAAAAAACGCTCCTAAGGTCCTAAGGACCAATTGCTCTTAATACCATGTTAGAGTAGGTAGCTAGGAATGTTTGACTATCGAGTGAGTTGGGTACAAGGATGAGAACCCTAAGGGGTTGTACCCTACATTGGCTACCCCGCTAAAGCCTACACCTTATTATAAATCATATATAGTTTGACACCTGAGACGTGATGAATGAGCCGAGAATGAGATGAGGGTTCCGGCGAGGTGGATTTTGAGAATTCATATAAATGAGAGGGGGGATTTGGCCGGGATTGTTGTCTTGGAATTCGTTTTGAGACGAAGTCGGAACTGGAGCTGGTTGAAGGAGGCTTTTCTGGGGGAGCTTGTTCCCGCCGCTGCTGGGGTACTTAGCGAGGAAGAGGCTGTGGCGAAAAGGCCCGCGCGTGCGGATCTTAGGAGCGACGCACGGTTACCGCCGGGTTACCGCCGGGTCGCGCGGGCTACTAACGGGCGACGCACGGGCCGCACGCGCTGTCACGGAGGGATTCTGAGATCCGTTTTGATTATGCTGACGCTGATGCGACAGTGAGACAGACAGCGGCATGGTAAGCGCCTCCGTCATCCGAACGATACTACAATCGCCTATATGTGTCCTTCCAAATTAATCCAACGGAATCCAGCGCGCACATCTTAGCTACCGCGCTTGACGGTCACAAACTGAGCACTTTGGATGTGATTTTTACCCAGCTCTCTCTCACTTCGTCTGAAATTGGTCATGCATGAGATAAGGTACCAAAATGAGTCCCAAATCTGATTGATCTTTCCCCATTTCCCTTAGTCGTCGGATGAAAGTTTAGTAAGGGGGTGTCCAGCGCGTTCATTTACAACTCATAAACCCGCTCGGTTATCACATTTCGGGTTGTAACACTGCCTTTTATAGAAAGTTTGGACAAGACCAGCTTTTGTTCACGAGATGGCACGCCCCCTACACGTACATCGAGTCGTCTGACTCACGTTGCTGGAATCAATGTATGCTCGAACAAGGGTACAGAATTGCGTCCTGCCCACAACAATAATTTTCGCTTGTGTGGGAATTCTTGCGAGACGATCGAAGCACGGTAGAAATTTGCGTGGGGGGTGGTTGTGTCTGCGCTTTGGAACGCACAGCCATTATGGACTATGTTAAAATCTAGCAGCAGGAATGATTGAACTATGGAAGAGTTGGGTACAAATATGAAACCCTAAAGTGGGTTGTACCCCATATTGGCTACCCCACTACAGCCTAAACATGTATAGTAGGTATAACGTGTGACAGACTAGACCCGCCCTGGATTCGTTTTTAGGTACAACGTGTTTTTTTGAACTACGAGATATGAGAAGGTACTAAATTACCCAAAACGTATGCGCTAGAGATGCCCTAAGGGGGTGTCCAACTCGTTCAAATTCCGACTCTGTTGAAATGGAAAGAAGTAAATGTACAATTTGGTGCTCCGAAAATCTATTTTGTGATTGTCATTATCTAAGAGCATGCGCTTATGCCCTAGACTCAATTACAAGCGCCCCCCCTAAAAAAATTATCCTTATTATAAGTGCATATGCGGTACTATCCGGGGTGATACGGTACCAGCATGGTTAGATATTGCGCAAAGCTTATTGGAGTGTACGTACTTCGTAAGATGGGTGAACGTACAGAACAGTATGTCAGTCTACCGGTTCAGCTTACCGAATTTGAACCCTGAACCCTTGGGAATGGTTGTTTTCACTTGGCTGCCACGTCAGCGTCATCCGGAAAGGCCTGGGTCGCCACGTCTTCGCCCATCACACCAAAGCCCAGAAGGTGGTGACAGGGCAGTTTCTGCCCCAAACTGGCAGTAGAAATTCGGTCGCAAGAATTCGAGAACCAGCTGGCGAAATATTGCGAGACCACAGTTTCGATTCGGGCGTTTCGTTCACAAATCGTTTGAGCAGCGACCTCACACTCTTGAATTCGCGAGCAGGGACTCCCACTCCTCTCCTGCTTCATGTTCCTAGCTTCTCTGTGCTCACCCTCCCCTCCTCTCTAGGGTTTTCAAGGAGGCTATTTTCCTTTTCTTTTGGTGCTTGGGTATTATTTCTCCGCGATTCAAGGTAGCTGTGTTCTGGGCCAGCCATGGCGTCGCTCCTAGCGCCTGCGCAAGCGCAGATGAGCAGCCTCTCGCTCGCTGCGTCGAGATCTCAGAATGTGAGCTTCGTAGAGGCTTCATTGGCATTTCCCAGAACACCAACACACGCCAGCTCTTTTCCCACTCGATGTGATTGTTTCCCTCACGACCACTCACCCGTTTAATCATTTAACACCTCTTCCTCTCGTTATATCTATATTTCTCCTTCACTCATTCTGGATCTGTCTCTCTTCCGTCTTCTCCAGGCCCTCTCTTCGTCCGCCTCCGTCTCTTTCCGCGGGGCAGCCATCTCCGCTCCCCGCCGAGTTGCCGCCACGGCGACTCCCTCCGCCGTTGCCGTGCGCGCGCAGGCCTCCGCCGACGCCGCCACGCAAGGTGAGGTGAGCGGCTGTGCTAGGCAGAGGACCTGTGGTATGAAGAACAGGTCACAGGTGCTGTGGCTAGACGGACGATGTAGGAGGTGACTTTTGAGTCGACTCAAAAGTCACTTAGGCAGAGGGCTAGTGGTATGAAGAACCGGTAACAGGTGTTGTGGCTAGACGGACGATGTAGGAGCTCCTTACAGGAGAGCTGTCAAGAAGAGCCCTTTAAGCATGAAATTTGCTTGGTTGTAATGTAGAAGGAGCAGCTGTTAGGAATCAGTGCTGCAGTAATGTAGCTGTTCCACCACTGAGTTGCTGTAGAGCAGAGCCATGACTTTAATCAGCTCGACTTGGCGAACCGTTCAACGGACTCGTTGACGGGACCATTTACGGCGCCGTTGACGGAGGCGTTTTTGAAAACTTAGCGAGTCTGAGGGATGTTGATAGCTAGCGTCGAGACCTGAGACAGTCGTATCTTTAGAGTACGTGTACAGTTTGTGGCAGCAAATGGCAGGTTCTCCGGAGAGCTTCTATAACAGTGTTGTTAAGAGATGCTGATTCTCATCTCGGGCCTCAGTTTCAGTTGGAGACTTGTTTTCAGGGTTTTTTCAGCCCTCAATACTAGCATCGACTAGGGTTTAGGTGCTTGATGGGATCAGGACAGGCAGCGTGAGAAAGATTTCGAGCGATTTAACTGGTACCTCTCTGTCACTTCTTACGCGAGTTCACACCGACGGGGAGCAGTTTTGAGACGTCACGGAGCTTGATTTTAAACGATGTGGTTGGGAATGATATCGATCGGGAGCAGCATTTGAAGTGTCGAGATTGCGGTTGCAGATCGCGGCTTGATGATGTCAAAAATAGTCCCAACGCCCTGACGTTCAGAATGACGATTTACTGTCGCATTTCACTGAAAGCCGCCCAATCTACCTCCCGTCCTCTCGCTCCCCTGGTTCTTCCAACTCTCAGTTCTTTCCATTTGCTCGAGTTTCTTGATTCTGAAGTGTGCAGCCACTCGTACCTCCTCCCCCGGTTTGGCGCGTGGTCGCTTGTCGCGTTCGTCGTTCTCACTTCATCCCTTTCCCCTCGTTCCGTTCGCCCCTTTCGTCTCATTCCACCGTCATCAGGCTTCCCCTCTTCTTCCTCGTTAATAGCGTTCTCGTTTCCCCGTGAAATTCTCCAGCGTCGGTTGCCGTACTTGAAAATGTCAAATCACCGGCTCCAGGATGTCAAAAATAGTCCCAACGCCCTGACGTTCAGCATGACGATTTACTGTCGCATTTCACTGAGAGCCGCTCGATTTACCTCCCGTGGTCTCGATTCCCTGGATCTTCCGTCTCGTCGTCCCTTTCCTCTCTCATTCCGTTCGTCCTTTTCGTCTCGATTCTACCGTCGGCAGCCTTCCCCTCGTGCCCTCGTTGACGACGCCCCTCGTGTCCGTACCATTGTCTGGTCACCGGCTCTAGGATGTCAGAAATAGTCCCAACGCCCTGACGTTTCAGCATGACGATTTACTGTCGCTTTGTTCTGAGAGCCGCTCGATTTGCCTCCCGTGGCCTCGCTTCCCTGGTTCTTCCGTCTCTCCCTTTCTACGAATGTCTCGGTTCTGGTGTTGACACAAAAGCCTCAGGGCCATTACCTTTTTCTTTCCATCCATGGTCTTCCATTCGTTCTTTTCTCTCCATTTGCCATCTGTCTCTTTATTTGCGGCATTTTTTTGTTTGTTGCTTCAACAGGCGTTTAGTTTTAGCTCGCACTCTCAGTGGCGCGTGATGCGTTTGTTACTATTTGTATTCGTACTTCTTTAGAGAGCCTCGCTCTCATTGAAAGAGAAAATAACTTTCTGATGCCACTCGCAATTTGTGTTTGACGTCGCCCTAAACCATCCACTCCCTCCCCCTCTCATTCTCTCTCATCCTCTCATCTTTTCTCGACGTCTCCCCTGCTCTTACCCTCTCATCACTACCCGCTCCTGCTCCGCCCCCATCCTTTCCCTCCAGCGCCCATCCTGCTCTTTCCCCTCTCACTCCCATTGCCCCTTATTGCTCCTGCTCACGCCCATTCCGCCTTCCTCCTCCCCCCCCCCCCCCCCCCCCCCACCCCGCATCTTGCCTCTTCTCCCCCTTTCTCCCCCACGTGCAGAGCGGTTCCGTCTGAACAACCTGGCCCCCCAGCCGGGATCCCGGCGCCAGGAGAAGCGCAAGGGGCGCGGGCACGCGGCAGGCCAGGGCGCGAGCTGCGGGTTCGGCATGCGCGGGCAGAAGTCCAGGTCCGGGCCGGGCGTGAGGCACGGGTTCGAGGGTGGGCAGATGCCCCTGTACAGGCGTCTCCCCAAGCTGAAGGGCATTGCGGGGGGCATGGGCGCGGGTCTGCCCAAGTATGTGACGCTGAACGTGGGGGATTTGGAGGAGATGGGGTTGGAGGAGGGCGAGGAGGTGTCTCTGGAGAGCCTTGTTGAGGATGGCATTCTCAACCCCTCTGGCCGCGACCGCCGGCTGCCACTCAAGGTGCGTTGACTCGCGTTGACTACTGCTGACTTTTGTTGACTGTGGGGGATTGACAGGAGATGGGGCTGGAGGAAGGCGAGGTGGCTTCTGTGAAGTACATTGTAAGGGATGGAGTCCTGAACCTGTCTGACTGCGAACCGGGCACAGGCTCTCATTGAAGGAAGAGACGTGTTTTGGGGCGACTCTAAACACGGTTCTTTGCCAGGATGGAGGTCTAACTAACCCTGTCTGGTTGTGAACCAGGCACAGGCTCTCCTTAAAGGTAGAGCCTGGTATTATGAAAGATGGAGGACTTAGGGGGGGCGATTCTGCGGGTATGGGGTCGTGGGGGAGGTTTGGGCATGGTGGAACGGATGCGTTGCTGCTGCCTAAGCATGTGTTGGTGGACCCTTTCTGTTCCACCATCACTGGCCAAGAATGTGGGTTTGGGGGACCTGAATTCTGGAGGAAATGGATGTCTAGCTTTTCTCCTCTCATCACTGGTCTTTCCTCTTTTGCCCCTCTTATCCTGCGCTATCCCTCTTTTTACCCTCATCTCTTAACATCTCTCTTATTTCCCTCATTTCTTCCGTCTTTTTTTCCTTCAGATCTTGGGTGATGGCGAGATCTCCACCAAGGTGACCATCAAGGCGGCTTCTTTCAGCGAAGCTGCCCGGGAAAAGCTTGAGGCTGCTGGTTGCACACTCGAGGTTGTACCTGGCAGGAAGAAGTTCCTCCCTGCACTGGCTGAGAAGAGACAGGCACAGATGGCTGAATTCCTGGCTTCCAAGGGAGTTACTGCATAAGGGTGGTGGTACATTGTGTAAACAAACGCTTTTATAAGTTGTTAACCCTCATCTATGATTCACCTTTCGTTCACACGATTCTCAGCTGCAAAGAAATGCAAATTACCATAGGCATCCAATCCATGGATTGCTGTCTGTTATTGCTACAATTACAATCTGTTCTCTGTGGGTGTCGCAGCAGCATATATCACCTCAAGTTTCGTGGTGCGCTTTTGCGGAAACCTTTGGCCTCCCATTGGTGGCTCGAGTGCGCCACGTCGTAAAATTGGATTGCGTTCCTGCCAACAGAGGCTACACCACTCGGCTTTCCACTGATGACGTGGCCCTTCCCTGGCAGCCCCTTGAACCTTGCCATGGATTACCCATCCCAGAATGTTGCGATGCCGTTCATCGCATATGTCCTGACTCTGGACCTCCTAGTTACTGGAGTCCTCTACCGCTTCCACTTTTGTTGAATTCACTCACCCTTTTTTCTCGCACTTCCTACGATTGTAACTTAGTGGATTGCTCTCCGTCCCTGGATTCTCGTTCCGTGAAGCAATCCATAGTCGTTCGCCATGGCTGCGTGCCGGCTGCACATGACCGTGACTCCGGTCGCGGGACTCGTCTCCTCCACAGTTCTGAAATCCAACTTCGTCGCCTGTCCACGCGTCCTCAGCGGGCCGATCCGGTCCAACGCTCTCAGCGCTTCAAACGGCGGGAGAAGGCGGTTTGTTGTGCACGCACATAAGGTGGAGGTCGAGCATCAGGGAAAAACACACATTCTCGAGATTCCCGAGGATGAGACAATTCTTTCCGCCGCGATTGACGCTGGTCTGGATCTCCCTCACGACTGCAAGCTCGGCGTGTGCATGACATGTCCTGCGAAGCTGATCTCGGGTGAGGTGGACCAATCAGAAGGCATGCTGAGCGATGACGTCATGGAGCAGGGCTACGCGCTCATGTGCGCGTCATACCCGAAGTCCGACTGTAAAATCCGCGTCATTCCCGAAGAGGAGCTGCTCAGCCTCCAGCTGGTGACGTAAATAGATTGTTTGAGAAAAATAAGAAGCATTTTTTGTTCTGCTCTTCGCATTTTTTTAATGAAGTACCTTGTTCTCGTTAACATTGCTGTAACTCAAAATCGTTACGTTCGTTGGCCAACTCCGTTTGATGCGATAAACTACTCGACACATTGTGACAATGGCGTCCTAAGGACAACTGGCACCAACTTGAACCCTTTCTCTCAAACAGATCATAGTCCACTTTCTCTTTCTTTTGGTCTTGTCGCCTGCCGTTATCTTCCTCCGAATCCTCCTTTCTCTGGTATCACCTGCCCCGCCTCGCCCACCCACACCCTGCTTTTCCCCTCTCTCTAACTCGTCATGTATGTATTCTTGTTCTCTCCTCCACCTTCGGCCTCTCTCCATCATCCTAGTCCTTTCCCTCTCAATCTCCCCTGTTTCATCTCCCCGTCTACGTCACCCCTCTTCATTCCCCCGCTTTCCCCCCTCCGTCTACCCCTCTCCCTCTTTCCCTCTCCGCCCCCCCCCCTTACGGTACACCTCCTCTTTCGCCTTTCTCTGTCAAGCCCTCCCCGCACCCCCCTTTCCGTTCCCCCCCTCTGTTTTCCCCTCTCCGTTTCCCCCCGTATTCTGTCTCTCCTCCTGTATGTTGCGCGCGCCTGCTCTTCCATACATTGTTCCGAGTCTATGTTCTCCCACCCAGCCTATTGACTCGTTCCTTTCTCTTTCTCGTTAGCCCACGTTTACGTCCCTCATGCTTTCCTAGTTACCCTGTCTCTAAACCTAGAACCTTAAAGCTCGTAGAATTCAGGTGTTACGACATTTAGGTTAGATGCACCCCTCCACCTCCAATCACGCTCCAATTTTGATTCTTCACAACTATGTGCGTCAAAGGTCCCAAGACTGGTTTTGAGGCAGCTGGTTTCACAGACTTAGGTACCGGTAGCACAAATTGCACATTTAGACTCATTCCATCACTAAATAGGCTAATAATCTAGCCTGGGTATGAGATACAGGGAGAAAAAGGCGGCTGAACTAGCAAGGAAAGGCTGAATATGGATTGAAAATATGCATGGCAGCCGCGCGTGTTGTCACTTGGCTCCATCTGTGTATTGTGAGGGGCAAATATGATCTCACATGTTTCAGCCAAGATGTTAGCTCGGTAGTCATCATTTGATTGGAAAACAACCCTCGGTTAACTCCCCTTGAATCAATACTTAGCTCGTTCTTTTTGGGTAACAATAGATGTCTGTAACACGCTTGCGACGCGAAAACTTCAAACCGACGAATCGTTCAGAATGTCGCGCGCAAAGCAGAGCGCGACTTGATTTGTGTGCAGAGAAAGTTTGAGGTTTGGAGGGGCGGACCTAAGGACGCGTGTCTTTGGCAAATTTGGTTGAAGTTCATGTTTTTTTGTTGAACTTTCACATAACTTTGGTCGACCTGTGCTCGACTATCTAGACTTTCGGTGGTCGAGGAGCAGTGTTAACAAGCCCGAGTCGCGCATGGAACAACAAAATTCGACTTTCGAAGTTCAACTTTATACATTACATAACGAGTCGCGCTAAATTTTCGTAGGTTATCTAGATTCGTACAGCTGTTCGTTCGCGAGTACAGCTTCGGTAACACTGTAGGCTTTACCTCGTGACTGTCGTGAATCTCGGTAATCTTCGTGCGTGTGCAGAAGAACACACGATTGGAATAACGTCAACGTAAAAATCCGCATGCGAGGTCGACTTTAGTTTGTATCCAACTTCCTTTCCACAGTTTGAAGACACACGACTCCCTTGCGAAAAACTTAACGAATTGTGCGGAAACAGGTTACCTGCAAAAGCTCAATTTTCTTGCCGAACGTCTACAGCAAAAGACACGCGCCCTGATTGACGTGTGGGTTAGGTTGGGCAACTACGTGGTTGGGTGTTTGTTTGTAGTTTTTAGAATCGGTTGAGAGGGGTTTCTGCTGCTTATGACTCAACAGCTATCCGCGGCTCGAATTGCGTCTGGCCAAATCTGCTATTTCGTTTGGCTGAAGTGGCTGCTGCTACCCCATCATATATTTCTGCGAAGATTTTGGTCCGCGGTTTTTGGCCCAGCCTAGTTAGTTAATTAGTGGTGGAGTGCGAAGATTTCGGTTCATAGGTCTGGTTCTCGTTGTGACAATGAACTTTCGTACACCTCAAGGAAGCCCAGCGTTTACTTTTGAAAGGCCGTCAAAAGCTGCGCTTGAGACTCTCAAAGCACAAGTTATAAGCTGGAGGTTGAGCATCAGCGTGCACGCCTGCCCCACGCTCGTCATCGTCGCATCTCCGTTCTAGCATCTGAGCCTCCTCCGTTACGCTAGGTGTCACGCAATCTTTATCAAGCAACCTTGTTAATTTTACGGTTTCCAGCTCAGTCTTTCGTTGTGACTGTCAATCCCACCTGACCTCTACTATTAGCTATGACCGTCGACGCGTTTCCGAGTTGCCAATCCATGGCGGACGTTCTCCCATCATGTTCCTGTCGACCGTGCGGCTGTAATTTCACCATGTGTCGCACGCCCTTTGTAATCAAGGTGAGCACAAGTGCGGCTGCATGATTAGTTTTCCTAAATCATTGCCGCGTTCTCTAGTGCGAGCGCGCGATTGACGCAATCGCGAAAAAGGACATCGATTCTTCCGCCTTTATTATCATTATATCACCAAGAGCTTGTACCTTGTGTGTTAGCACGCAAACAAGTAGCACATAAAAAGGTTTCGCCGGTCGGTTAGTTGACTTCCTCGCCCGCGCATACTTCTTGAGTCGATTCAAGTTCATGGCGGACTTGTTAAGATCGTGTAAATGGCGGAAGTCCCTCCTCGCCCGCGGATAGTTTCCAACTCGGATCGCCTCTGAGGACTAGAAGGGCCCTCCCAGGCCTCCTTTTCTCCCTCCCTTCCTTTCAGTTATTATCCTTCAATCGAAACTCAGATCTAGCTCCACCGTGTTCTACGCCGCCTCTAGCCTCCTTGCTTCTCTCCGCCGTCTGACCTCCCTCCTCCCTCTCCCTCCTTCCTCCCAACCTCTCTCCACCTTCTTTCTCCAATTCCCCTCTTTTCCCCTCTCCCCCACAACCCCCTCTCTCACCGCTCTCCCCACCTTTCCACCCCTTTCCATATTCCCCCAAATCCCCCCTCGTTTCCCCAAATTGCAGGCCTATCTCGGCGAACCTAGTACTATTCGTCGCATCGCGTTTCTCGACTGCGTCCCTCCGCCATTCGACCTGGTCGACCTTCGAATCCGCAAGCACTTCAGAATCCCCGCCGAGCAGCGCCTCCGGCTCAGATACACTGACACGGATGGAGACGTGCTGACTCTTTCCACTAGCGATGAGCTTTATGACGCGTTTGTTCTCCAGAAGCAGAACCCGCTGACAGTGAGACTGTATGACAGTGACGGGGTGACTGGTTCCGTCAGTTTGACAGACTCAGTCAGCGCAAAATTTCACGTCAGCTGTGGTACTGCTACCCACGGCGCCAGCGTTTCTGTCGGCGTCAGCACCCCTCCTGAGCTGATTCAACCCCTCTCCTCCTCTGAAGCAGCAGCCCCAGCAGCACCAGCAGTAGCAGCAGCAGAAGCAGCTACAGCAGCAGCACCAGCAGCAACAACAGCACCAGCTGCTGCAGCTCCTCCCTTACCTGCCTCCTCCGAATCGACTCATCTACCTCCACCTTCTGATGCTGCCACCGCTCTCCCTCCCGCCGCTGCCTCATCTACTGCCGCTGCTCCTGCCTCTGCTCCTTCTACCACTTCTGCTTCCTCATCCACCTCTGCTTTAGAGTCGTCTCACCTACCACTACCTCCTGACTCTGCCACCGCTCCCCCTCCCGCCACTGCTCCTGCCTCCGCCTTCCCTCCCACAACTGCTCCCTATTTTGCCTCTGCTCCCTTTCCTGCCTCTGCTCCCTCTCCCACCTCTGCTCCTCCTCCTAAATCTGCCACCGCCCCCGCTCCCGCCTCTGCAGCTGCTGCTCCTGTCTTTGGTGCTCCTGCTTCCACTTCTCCTGCCCCTGCTCCAATTTTTGGTGCTTCAACTTTCACTCTTGCTGCTCGTCCTCCTGTCTTCGGCACTCCTCTTCGTGCCGCTCCTACTGCAACTGCTGCTCCTGTCTTCGGCGCCCCGCTTATTGGTGCTTCAACTCCCACTCCTGCTGCTCGTCCACCTGTTTTCGGCGCTCCTCGTACTTCCGCTCCTGCTGCAGCAGCGGCTGGTCCTTTTAGGAGCGGTCATGTGCATCTCTCTGCTCCAGTGTCAAAGAAAAGTGACTCAGGGTCTCTGTTTTCGCTTGCTCGTGCCACTCCTGGTTTTGCCACTCCATCTCCTGTTTCTGCTCCTGCGTTTGGCACTCCCACTCCTGCTGCTCCTGCTTTCGGCACCCCCGCCCGTGCTGTTCCTGCTGCGGCTGATCCTGCATTTAATAAAATCGTTCAAGGGTTTCACCTGGGGCTTGCCAATACGTCGAGACGGAAGGCGAGAAGAATTCTCAGAAGAAAATCGAGTTACTTTTGAGTCGACTCGGAAGTCAACTAGCTCTTGCTGCGACTGGACCTGCATCAGTACAAGGGTTTCACCTGGGGCTTGCCAATACATAAAACGGAAGGCTAGGAGAATTCCCAGGAAACTCCAAGTTGGCTTTTGAGTCGACCCAGATGTCCACTTGCTCCTGCTGCGACCATTCCTGCATCTACTGTAACCGCTCCTGGCTTTCACATATGACTTGCCTGTGCATAAAGTATATATATATATATATATAAGGCCTCTGGATAGGATTTAGGGCACTCTTACTCGCAAGGCCAGTTCGCTGAAGTTGGTCTTTCAGTAAGGGTGGGTCAGCCATGTCAATCATTTTTATCAGTGTCAGCTGGAAAGGTACTCTTGCTCATCAGTGTGCACATTGTTTTCTCCCTTTCATGTTTAGACTTAAGCATGGATTACATATTAAAGATGGCACTAACTAACAGAGCAACTAAAGCACCAGTGCCTGGTTCTAACAGAATAAGCTTAGCAGTGAGCACAAGTTAATACGGTATAGGAACTCTTGAGCAGGGCGGCGCTTCTTGCCAGCATTGAACATTGCTACCGTATGCATGAGCCCCGCGAGTGAAACTCGACTTAGCCACTTCTGCCGTGCCGAACACGAACCGGATTTCAGCTTCTTGGCAGCACAGTTGTGAGCAGCAGCGGTATTCTCCATTACACGTGTTGCGCTTTTCGTGGTGTCACTTCAGGCGTCGTGGTGCACGTCACGCCCTGCTTCAGCCAGCGCGGTCTCAGCCTCAGTAGAGGCAACGACGGGCTCTGGTTCAAGCAGTTGCTTAGAAGGCACTGTTAAAAGGCGAAGGCCCTTTCATGAGGGTGCGTGCAGGACCTGAGGACGAGCCTCGTCGTCATCCTCACCGCTGGTGACAACAGCCATGACGAGGGACTTGGAGGTACCGTAGATGCTGGAGCTATGCTTATAATAGCAGGAGGAAGGCGTGGTCTGCAAACCCTAGACGAGACCACGAGGAGGAAAACTGGATGAATAAAATGAACTGACTGGGTTGGGGTTGGGTGAGAGCGGTGTCAAATGTTGTAGCCTGTAGTGAGGTTTGTCTTAAGGGGTACAGAAGTTAGGGTTTGTCATATGTACCCCAACCAACATCAATGCAACATCCATTCCTCATTCTGACATGGTATCAGCTAGGTTAGGATCCTATGGGATCCCGTTCCTCCGTTCTCCGTTCGTACCTCCCGAGCCTGATCCTACCTCTCGTTCGTACCAGTTTCGTTGTTACCGCGCCTAGTACCGAGCCTAGCGCCATCTCCCCCGTCGCGTCACGCCCGTTCCCCCCCGTCGCGTCGCGCCCGTTCCCCCCGTCGCGTCGCGCCCGTTCCCCCCGTCGCGTCGCGCCCGTTCCCCCCCGTCGCGTCGCGCCCGTTCCCCCCGTCGCGTCGCGCCCGCCTGTTACCCCCCCCGTCCCGTCGCCCTGTCCCGTCGCGTCGCCCTGCCCTGTCCCGTCGCCCTGTCCCGTCGCGTCGCCCTACCCCGTCGCGTCGCCCTGCCCTGGCCCGTCGCCCTCCCTAGGCTCTGGCCCGTCGCCCTACCCTCGGCCCTGGCCCGTTGCCCTACCCTACGTCTTGGCCCGTCGCCCTAGCCCGCTCTTCCGCTGCGACTGAGTCCTCTTCCCCCCCGGTTGTTACTCGCCTGTTCGTTCGCGTTGGTTCTCACTATGGCGACTCCGCGAGTTCTTCGTTTCGACGCCGACGGTAGACCCCTTGACTTTTCCGTCTGGCTTCTTCGCGCTCGTCGTCTGTTAGAGAGTCAGGTCCAGGGGGGCGAGACCCTCTGGTCACACGCTACTGGTGACCTCCCCGAGCCCCCCGAGCCTACAGCTTTAGGCCCTGCTCCTGACAACGCTGCTACGGCTCGCTTTGCCCGTCAGCGCGCTGACCGGACGGCTTGGACGTCGCGTGACACTGCGGCCTGCATCGCACTCAGCAGCCTCCTCCCTGAGTCCGAGGAGGTCCACTTTACTCAGGTTCGCACCGCTGCTGCGTACCTCACTGCGATTAAGGCCCGCTACTCTACTCCCGCAACTGTCTCTCTCGGCCGTCTTTTCCTCCCGTTCCTGTTTCCTGATCTTGCCTCGTTTGAGCGCTCTGCTGACTTGATCGCTCACCTCCGCTCGCTCGACGCTAGTTATCGCGCTGCTTGCACTGAGGCACAGCTTGCACTGCTTCCTCCCCCCATGGCGATTACTGTCTATTTCATCGCCACTAGCCTCCCTGACCGCCTTGCCTCCGTTCGTGACGCGCTTCTGCTGAAGCACCCTAGTGAGCTGACTATCGAGGTCCTTGAGTCTGCACTCAAGGACGTCGAGAGCAACCTTCGTTCGGTAGCTGCCGCCTCTGGTACTGTGTCCCCCCCACTCTTCCACGGGTGCACAGTCCCGCAGTTACCCACCTTCACTGCCTCTCTTGCCACTGCCGCTACTGACGCGACTGCGGCTGCTGTTACGACTGCGTCGCGGTCCCGCGGCAGGGGGGGCAAGAAAGGTGGTTCCGGTGGAGGTGGAGGCGGAGGTAGCGGAGGTAGTGGGGGTGCTGTTGCGACTGGCAGTGGTGGGAGTGCAGCGTCTGGAGAGACCCCTCGTGCAGCGGCTGGTGACTCCACTGCACCTGCTGGTGGCGGCGACCCTCGAACTCGTCAGTCGCCTCCTGTACTGCCGGCCCCGCTAGGTGGAGCAGCGGCGTGGTACCAGGCTCAGCGTCAGCAGCACCTTCAGCAGCAGCAGCAGCCCCTTTCCTCCCAGCAGCCTCAGGAGCAGCAGCGTCAGCAGCTGGCTCCGGGGTCGGGGCTGCGTCAGCCCCAGCGCGGTGCTGCTTACCCTCCCTGCCCCTACCAGGTTCAGACAGGTCCTCGTCGGGGCCACCCTTGTGGCCGCTTTCACCCCCCTGGTCAGTGCTTTGCTCAGCTCACTGACACGGTCCGGTTGACCTACGGGGTTGGCGGTCCTACTCCTGACTGGCTTCCTCTGGTTCAGCGCTACGGCTCCGCTCTGTGGGGCATGTCTGCTGAGCAGTTAGTTGATCTGATTAGTGCTCCTCATGCTATGCATGCTGTTGTTGACTCTAGTGTTTCTGACTCTGTTTACTCTGGTGTTGTTAGCTTAGGTGCTAGTCTTGCTCAGTTGCCTGTTGCTAGTGTAGGTACTTGTGTAGACTCTAGACCAGCAACTACCTCAGAGGACACTTCGCTGTCGTTCACACTGGACTCTGGAGCCTCCCACTGCTTCTTTCGGGACAGCACGACACTTACACCACTTCCTGCGCTTGTTTCTGTAGCGTTGGCTGATCCCACTACGGGACCAGTCACTGCACGTCACACTACCACTTTACCGTGTCCTGCTGCTCCCTCCGGGTCTCTCACTGGGTTTCACGTCCCCTCGTTCTCCCGGAACTTGGAGGGCGTGCGACCCCTCGTGAGTCAGCACGTGGGTGTGTGGTTTGAGCCTTCTGGAGAGACTGCGGTGTGTGTTGACGGAGACTCTTACCAGCCTCTTGCTACCTTTACTGCTGAGCCGGGCTCGGGTCTCTACACTCTTCACACTGGCCCGCGTGCGCCGCAACAGCAGCCGCAGCAGCAGCAGCAGCCGCAGCCGCAGCAGCAGCAGCAGCAGCAGCAGCAGCAGCAGCAGCAGCAGCAGCACCAGCGGCCGCACCAGCAGCCCCCCCTACTGCCACTGCCCCCGGTTCCCCCCCCCGTTTGGGTCCCCGCGTCTCACCAGGTTGCTACGTCCCCCCAGGTGTCTGTGTCGTGTCAGGTTCCTACGTCTGTTCCAGTCGCTGCGTCGTGCTCCTGCCGGTCGCTTGCCCACCCCACCGTTCTGTGGCACCACCGGATGGGGCACCCGTTTCTTCCACGTCTGCGCGCTATGTCTAGTCAGCGTCTTGTCCTAGGCCTCCCACGTGTCTTGCCGTCGCTGCCGCCTTCGCCTGCGCCGCCGTGTCGTCCCTGCGTCGAGGGTAGGCTGCGCGCCACCCCTCACTCCTCCTCCCTTCGTCCGGCCACCGAGCCTTTTGAGACGCTTCACTTGGACGTCTGGGGCCCAGCCCCTCGTCTAGGCCCTGAGCGTGAGCGTTACTTTCTGGTGGTCGTTGACGACTTCTCCCGCTACACCACAGTGTTCCCTCTGGCGAAGAAGTCTGAGGTGACTTCTACGCTGATCAGGTGGTTGCTCACCACGGAGGACACTCGTGGTCGTCGTGTCAGCTGTCTTCACTCCGACCGTGGGGGTGAGTTTCGCTCCGGCATTCTCGCTGGATTCTGTCGCGAGCAGGGCATTCGTCAGTCCTGGACGCTTCCAGAGTCCCCACAGCAGAATGGGGTTGCTGAGCGCCGCATAGGCCTGGTCATGGAGATCGCCCGCACCTCCCTGACTCACGCCTGTGCCCCCCATTTTCTGTGGCCCTACGCGGTCAGGTACGCCGCGCACCAGCTGAACCTCTGGCCACGTGTCTCTCGACCAGAGGTTTCACCGACCAGTCTTTGGACAGGGTCCCCTGGTGTTGCGTCGCGGTTTCGTGTCTGGGGGTGCTTGGCTCTTGTCCGCGACACCTCCGCGGACAAGCTCTCGCCTCGTGCCGTCCCCTGTGTCTTCCTTGGTTTCCCTGAGGACTCCTCTGACTTCACCTTTTACCACCCTCCCTCTCACCGGTTCTTTGACTCCCGTGACGTCCGTTTCGAGGAGTCCACTCCGTACTACGTCAGGTACCCCAGTCGAGGTCTCCCGGTTCCTCCTCCCCCCCTCTTCCTGACTGCCGTTCCCCCTCCTGCTCCCCCGGTACAGCCTCCCCCCCCTGGTCCAGCCCCGTCATGTGTGTCCCAGGCTACCCCTCCTCCTTCGGTAGCCCCTCCGGTACAGCCTCCCTCCCCACAGTCCTCCTCGCAGCGTGCCGCTGGTGCTAGCTCTCGAGAGGTTGGTGCGGCGCCTGTTCCTGTACCGGTTTCTGGTTCTGGGGGTGCTCGAGTTGGAGCTGGAGTTGGAGCTGGAGTTGGCACTGGAGTTTCTGGTTCTGGGGGTGCTGGAGTTGGAGCTGGGGTTGGAGCTGGAGTTTCTGGTTCTGGAGTTGGAGCTGACCCGGTGGGTGCAGAGGACTCTTGTCGTCCGGGAGCTGGTGCTGGCCGCGCGGACACTGGGGGTGCTGCGTCTGGGGGTGAGGGTGCGCCTCCTTCGGGTTCAGGTGAGCCTGGTTCTGGAGCTGGTGTTAGTGCTGCCTCTGGGGGTGGTGCGCCTAGTTCTTCTGAGGTGGACTCTGGAGCTGCCGCTGCTTCGGACACTACTCCACCCCCCCACCCCTACCCGACTAGGCACCAGGCTCGTGTTCGCCGTGCCCGTGACGAGCAGCTGGCGTTGGAGAGAGAGGAGAGGGAGTTACAGCGGCTGGAGGAGCAGCAGCAGCAGCTGGAGCCGTAGGAGCAGCAGCAGCAGCAGCAGCAGCAGCTGGACCCGCAGGAGCAGCAGTCCCAGCAGCAGCCGGGTCCGCAGCAGCAGCAGTCGCAACCGCAGCAGCAGCAGCCACTTCCTCCTCCTGTCTCGGGTCTTCGGATCCTTGGTCTCCCCTCCCCTTCTCCTCCCTCCTCCGCCTCTCCTCCTGTCTACGGTCCCACGTTTCCTCCTCCTGACTCCTCCCCCGCTGTTTTCCCCAGTTCTCCGCCTTTGTCCTCTCCTCCTCCGTCTCGTTCTTGGGCTACTCGTCGCTCCCCTCGTGCTCGTCCCTCGTCTCCTGTTCCCTTCACTGACCTTCGTACTGCCTTCCTTCTTTCTAGTCCACCTCGTCCGTCTCAGTCTGTGCTTCCGTCCCCTCCTGAGTCGGCCCTCACTGTGTCGCTCCCTACTCCTGTCACTGACTACTACCGCACGTACCGTCCTATTCTCTCTCGTGTTCTTGCCTCTCTTGTTACTCACCCTCGTGCCTCTGTGTCCTCTGTGTCCGCTCTTACTGCCGCAGTTACTGACTTTGCCTCTACCCGTCGCCTTGACTACGCCACCACGCTTGTGGCTGCTCCTCCTACCAGTCCTCTGGCCGTCGGGGGTGTGTCTGCCCTTGGCTGTGACGCCCTAGAGGACAGGCAGTTTGAGCTAGAGTTCCTGGCGGCTGCTTCCCCTCATCTCTGTGCCATGCTCCTCGCCCCTGAGGGTGACCCCGACGCCCTTGACATTCCGACTCCTCGCACTTACGCTGAGGCAGTGTCAGGGCCTTGGGCCTCTCAGTGGAGAGCTGCCATGGACGCAGAGATGGCCTCCTACAGATCCACAGGCACCTACGTCGATGAGGTTCCCCCCCCTGGGGCGAACGTAGTCGACGGCATGTGGATCTACAGGGTGAAGCGGCCACCGGGATCTCCCCCGGTCTTCAAGGCGCGCTACGTGGCTAGAGGTTTCAGTCAGCGCGAGGGAGTTGACTTCTTTCAGACCTTCGCACCTACCCCGAAGATGACCACTCTTCGGGTGTTACTACACGTAGCAGCACAGAGAGACTACGAGTTACACTCTCTTGACTTCTCCACTGCTTTCCTTCAGGGCAGTCTACACGAGGAGGTCTGGTTACGTCGTCCCTCGGCCTTCACTGGCAATTTCCCTCCTGGGACCTAGTGGAGGCTGAGGCGACCTGTTTACGGTCTTCGCCAGGCCCCTCGTGAGTGGCACGACACTCTGCGTTCTACCCTCTCTGACCTTGGGTTCCAGCCGTCTTCTGCCGACCCGTCGCTGTTCGTTCGTCGTGGCTCCACACCGTTCTTTGTTCTGGTCTACGTCGACGACCTCGTTTTCGCCACTTCGGACAGGGTTGCTTTGGCAGACGTGAAGTCCGAACTGCAGAAGAGACACACGTGCACTGATCTTGGTGAGCTGCGCCACTACCTTGGCCTGCAGATCACCAGGGACAGAGCCGCTCGCACCATTACACTCTCACAGTCACACATGGTGCAGCAGGTCCTTCAGCGGTTCGGGCTTCAGCACTCCACCGTACAGCGCACACCTCTAGCTGTTGACCACAGACTCACTGGTCCCTTTCCTGACGAGCCGTTTGAGCCTAGTGGTCCCTACGCAGAGCTTGTGGGTTGCCTCATGTACCTGATGACTTGTACTCGCCCGGACCTCGCCTTCCCTCTCAGCATCCTTGCGCGCTTTGTTGCGCCAGGGAGACACCGTCCTGTTCACTGGACGGCAGCTGTGAGGGTGGCGAAGTACCTAGCGACTACATCAGGCGTGGGGCTAGTTCTTGGAGGGCAGCAGTCTGTCGTACTCACTGGTCACTGTGACTCCTCTTACGCTGACGACGCTGAGACTCACAGGTCTACTCAGGGTTACTGTTTCAGTCTGGGTTCTGGAGCTGTTTCCTGGCGTTCCACGCGCTCCTCTTCTGTCTCGACCTCTACAGCTGAGGCTGAGATTTACGCTGGTGCCATGGCGGCACAGGAGTTGCGGTGGTTGACCTTCTTGCTCGCCGACCTTGGTGAGCGGCCGAGCTCTGCACCGACCTTGTTTACTGACAACAAGGCGTCGATCCTCCTCTGTCGTGAGCCGCGACTGGAGAGCAGAGTGAAGCACATTCACGTCAGGTACTTTCTTCTGCGAGAGTTGCAGAGGCGTGGACAGGCTCGCTTCGAGTTTGTAGAGTCCGAGGCCAACACTGCAGACATCTTCACCAAGGCGCTTCCGCCTTGTGACCACCAGAGGTGTTGTGTGCAGTTAGGCCTTGTTGACACAGGTTCTAGTCATGCGTAGACTTGAGTTTATTGCCTGCTTCGTCTGTACACTTACTATATATACTTGTGATCTCTTGGACTGGCCTTGTGGCCACTGTTGCTTGTGCTCAGAGTGTGTGGTGACGTTGTGATCCACTCTGAGCTTTGTTTTCTTTTGGACTGGTCTTGTGACCGTACTCTTTTTTTTTTTTTTTTTTTTTGCTAGACACCCCTCACTTAGGCTATGGGGGTGTGTCAAATGTTGTAGCCTGTAGTGAGGTTTGTCTTAGGGGGTACAGAAGTTAGGGTTTGTCATATGTACCCCAACCAACATCAATGCAACATCCATTCCTCATTCTGACAAGCGGCTGGTCGGTGGGTGGGGGTCTGGTGGGGAGGGAGGAAGGGACCAAGCAGGACTCTCCTGGACGATGCACACCTGTGTGGCGCTGTGTGTCACCGCCAGGCAGGCAAAATGCATGTGGTACGGGTACAAATTGCGGGACTGTGGCTGTGGCGACGCGAGCGGTCTTGGCGACGCGCAATTCTGGTGACTCGGGCAAATTGCCGCTAATCGCGGCAGAAATCACGTCGGTGAATCAACCCCCCCCACCCCCCCCCCCCCCCCCCCCCCTCTAAAAATTTGTATCAGGGTGGTACCCAACACTACTCGATGTCATTAGGGCGAGTACACCAGGTCGGTCTGAAATATCAGTGTTACACAAAAATTCACTTTATATTGTAAGGGTGCCCTAAAATACAACTCTGTAAAATCAGGGTGAACACCTAAACCCACCCTTTTAGTAAGGGCCATAAGGGTGATTTACCCTGATATCAAGAGGACAGATATATATATATATATATATATATATATATATATATATATATGTATATCGCTACGTCTCCTCTCCTAACGTTTTTAGCCCTCCTATCCCATGTCACCTCCACCGTACAGCCATAGCTATATATAGTTTCTACTGGAGCCGGGCCATTGACATTCGATGTTATAGAGGTTGCTCCTTGTACAGTCACAACATTGATTAGTGAATCTCAAACTGCTTTTGTGTAGCTGTTGCTTGTACCTCCGTTTCTGCTGCTGGTGGTGAACGTTGCCGATGACACGTTGTATGAGGCAACAGGAACGAAGGTATCTGTAAGTCAATTCATAGTACGTTGCCAACGAATGCAGCCTCCGTGGCAAACGAAATGAAATGACCGAATTCACAACAAGCGGCCCTAGTCGCAACTTTGCCCCTTTCTGAGACCCCCTACATAATCATATCACGTTTTTTACCCAAGTCATTTTGCTAACGCATTATTTGTAACGAGGATGACACCATATATGTTCTTTGTCGCCATACGAACTGGGTCCTTACCAGTCCAGTCAGAGAATTCGCGACCGTTGACTGTCAAGACAAGGACACTGAGGGCCACTGATAGTGGTCCTTATTTTCTGTGCGCCGCATCGTTCCGCCGCTCCACACGCACCTCGCCATGGCTTTCGTTTCTCTTTTCAGTACTCGGTGGCATTGGTAGTATAGACCACAATATCGCGTAATCTATCCTTGCGGTCTAGACCATCAGAATGTCGTACCGCTTCTCCGACGAGTCAGGCGATCCGTATCTGTTCAAATACTTCTCCTGAGCAGCTGTCCGTTTGCCGGCCACCGTTTTTGTTACTCGTAATCCGCCCTTCTATCTCTCAAATTCATAGCTTTCCGTCAGCAAGTCTCATTTCGTGAAGCCACGGACCGCCATGTCGTATATCGTCGTCCGCGGCTCGTCCTCCGACTTATGGCACCAAAACGAGAAGCTATTCGAGAGATTAAAGCCGTATGTAGTCGTCGCATTCGCCATTCTCGTGCTCGGCGTACCGCTGCTGCTAATATTCCAGCCAATCGAAGCTCTGTCGACCGACGTTGCCGCTTCCGATGCCGTTACTGACGGCACGTCCGCATTGAGCTTTGACGCGACTCGACGATCGGGCGATTCTGCTGCCTTTGCATCCTCCTTCGCTGCATCCTCGTTAGAAGCCGGCGTCATTAAAGGGGTCAACATTGCATGGTCGCTATGCCGAGCCGAGGCTGCTTATTGGGTAAGGATCAGTTGCATCGAATGTTACACTCGTTATAGAAGGACGCATTAGAAGGTCGCACAGGCGCAATGCAGCCAATTGCAGTGTTCAACCAAAACACATTTGAAACAAAACTGAAATAAACACTGAGAATAAAAAAGCGTCGCAAGCTTGTGGCTTTTCTGACTCAAAAGCATTTCTCCCCCTTTCCCGTCTTCCCCAGCCAAGCATGGACCGTAGGGAAGGGGCTTATAACGGGGATTAGTTTCCCTCGGCGCATGTTTATGTCTTGCAGTCTCTGCTGCTCTCGATCCTCCACAACCCCCCTATACACTCCCCCCCCTCTTCCTCCCTCTCCTCCTCCCCCCCCTCTTCCCCCGAACCCCTTTCCTCACCCATTGCTCCCCCTCATGTTTCCCTCTTATCGCGCAGGCCAGTATAGCGAGACGTGAGGCAGCTCATAACGGGGATTAGTGATCCGTGGATGCATGCAATGCTACCTGCCATCTGTACTTTGCTGCTCCCCATTCCCCCTCCCCTCCCCTCCCCTCCAACCCTTTTTACTCTTCCCGTCCCGACTCCCTTTCCCCACCTTTCTCCCTCCGTTCCCCTCCCTCCCCTCGCCCCCACGTGCCCTCCCGTCTCCCCAGGCTGATATAGAGCGTAGGGAGGCAGCTCATAACGTGGACCAGTGGCCCATGGACGCACACGACCTGCACTCGCTGCTGCTGTCCATTTCCCCTGCCTCCCTCTCTCCCCCCTCCCCCCCCCCTTCCCCCCCTCCTCCCGCCCCTCCCCTCCCACCTACCCCCAGGCTGACATAGATAGAAGGAAGGCAGCTCATAACGGGGATCAGTGGCCCATGCACGCACACGACCTGCCGTCTCTGCTTTGCTGTTCCCATCCCCCATCCCTCCCTCCCCCCGCCAATTTTCTCTTTGCTCCCCTCCGCACCTCCTTACAGGCTGATATAGAGCGTAGAAAAGCAGCTCATAACGGGGATCAGTGGCCCATGGACGCATATGACCTGCCGCAGCTGCTGCTGTCTGTGCTCATGCCCACTTACCCTTGCCCTGCAGAGGAGCGAGTGGGCGCGTGGGGGGATGGCGGGAAGGTAAGGGTAGTCCGGGGAGGGATTGATTGGGATCTTTCGGTTACTCCCTACCCCCCTCTGCCTTTTGAGTCGACTCAAAAGGTTCTTTCGGTGACCCCCTACCCCCCTCTGCTGTCTCCACCGCCGGTCTTTCAATGCTCATGCCCACTTACCCATGCCCCGCAGAGGAGCGAGTGTTTGCGTGGGGGGATGGCGGGAAGGTGAGCAGCGGGAAAGGGGAGGTCCATGTTGGGGTTATCTTGCCTACCCGTCTCTGCTGCTGCCTGTGCTCATGCCCACTTACCCTTGCCCGGAAGAGGAGAGAGCGGGTGCAAGGGGGGATGGGAAGGTGAGGCGGTTGGGCGATGGGGATGAGGGGGAGGAGAGGAGCTAGGGGGATGGGTAGGGGATGGCGATGCAGGGAGTGTAAGAAGTTTAGGGAGGGTTAACTGGTTAACGCAGAGATGATCGTTTCGTCCCCTTACCTCACTGAACCTCACTGAACCTCACTGAAGCGTTCGCAGCCCCATCCCTCGCCCCCGCTTCTCACCCCTAACTTTGAATTGATCTCCACTGCAGTGGGTGTGCCTGCTGCCTTCCAACCCTCTCCCTCTCTCCCCCTTCCTCTCCCTCACCTTACTGTGTGTATGCATGCTGCCATGCCAACTAACCCCCTTCCTCTCTCCCTCCTCTCCTCCCCTGCCTCTCCCTCACCTTACTATCCACTGCAGTGGGTGTGCATGCTGCCAACTACTAACCCCCTCCCCTCTCTCCCTCCTCTCTCCCATCCTGCCTCTCCCTCACCTTGCTTTCCACTGCAGTATGTATGCTGTATGCATACTGCCAACAAATATCCTCCCCCCTCGCCCTCCTCTCTCCTCCCCTGCCTCTCCCTCACCTTTCTATCCACTGCAGTATGTATGCTGTATGCATACTGCCAACTAAAATCCTCCCTCCCCTCTCCCTTCTCTCTCCTCCCCTGCCTCTCCCTCTCCTTGAATTCCGCTTCAGTGGGTATGCATGCTTCCAACTGCGATCCGAGATAACCCTGTAGTGTACAGGTAAGCTGTGTGGAGTGTTGCCTCAAAACCCTGCCTGCTCCAACTATTTTTGAGGCGCCTCAAAAATCAGGTAAGCTGTGTGGAGTGTTGCCTCCGAACCCTGCTCCAACTGAAAAGCCACCTCAACCAACAATCTCTGGCGTGTGTAGTGCAGGACAGGTTAGGTGCGCTCGTCATCCCATGTGCAGGTATGTCACGCCAGTATTCCACACAACCCTGTTGACTTTTGAGTCAACTCAAAAGTCAACTCAGGACCGGTTAGGTGCGCTCAATATCCCATGTGCAGGTATGACACGCCAGCATTCCACACAACAATGCTGTGTTCAGGTATGGCATTGGGTATCTGAGACATGGGTCATCGCCATGCCATGGCATTGGGTATCTGAGACGGGTAATCGCCATGCCAGGATCACATCACAAGCCATAATTATTAGCCCATGCCATAATCATTTACCATGCCAGAGCCATCAGCCATGCCAGAGCCATCAGCCATGCCAGAACCATCAGCCATGCCAGAGCCATAAACCATGCCAGAGCCATTAGCCTTCCCCCATCTCCCCACCTCCCAGTGTGGGCAGCTAGGAGCAGTACGACTTTGAGAAGGCTATTGCCGCTGCTCTCCTCTTGAGGCGTCCCACATGTCCACTCCACACCCTCAACTCCACTCTGCTCCCCTCCCCCGCTTCCCCCCTTTCCTCCCAGTGCGGGCAGCAAGGAGCAGTACGACCTTGAGAAGGCTATTGCCGCTGCTCTCCTCTTGAGGCGTCCCACAGGTCCTCTCCACACCCTCAACTCCACTCTGCTCCCCTCCTCCGCCCCCCCCCCCTCTCCCCTCCCTCTCCCAGTGTGGGTAGCAACGAGCAGTACGACTTTGAGCAGGCCATGGGCGCGGCGCTGCACACCAAGCCATTCACCTTCGACCCATTCCTCTCCGCCAACGCCACTGCTCACATGCACGCCCTCCCCTTCCTCCACTTCAACGAAATTATTCCCTCTCTGTCTCCCTCCCTCCCTCCATCCCTGCCTGCCTGCCTGCCTGCCTGCCTGCCTGCCTCCCTCCCTCTCCCCCCCCCCCCCCCCCCCCCCCCCATCCCCTCTCCCAGTGTGGGTAGCAACGAGCAGTACGACTTCGAGCAGGCCATCGGCGCTGCGCTGCACACCAAGCCATTCACCTTCGACCCATTCCTCTCCGCCAACGCCACTGCTCACATGCACGCCCTCCCCTTCCTCCACTTCAACGAAATAGCCATCGCCGGCGCAGCAAGCCTCGAAAAATTCCGAGACGAAAACCCCGGGATCACCTTTATGACTCTGCAAGAGGCGATGAAGAAACTAGGGCATGAGTATGTGGATGTGCTGAAAATGGACTGTGAGGGGTGTGAGGAGGAGTTTATTATGGGGATGAAGAGGGAGACTGAGGAATTTGTGGAGAGGCGGAGGAAGGAGGGAGGGGCGTTGACTGAGGAGGAGAAGGAGGGGAAGAGGAGGGGGAGGGGGGATGCGAAGCTGGTGATAAATGGGGGGAATCTGCTGTTTGGACAGCTTCTTGTGGAGTTTCACGCGTGAGTGTTTCTTTAGTGAGTTGGTCTAACCTCTTGTGTTCACTTTTCACACACTCATAAGAGATGCGAAGCTGGTGATAAATGGGGGGAACCTGCTGTTTGGGCAACTGCTTGTGGAGTTTCACACGTGAGTCTCTGTAAAATCTTGTGTTCACACACTCCTGGAAGGGATGCAAAGGTGGTGGTGACTGGGGGGAAGGGAAATGCATGTTTGATCTCAAGCCTGCTTCTCACACAACCCCGTTCTTGCTTTAGTTCCTCCCTCCCATCCCCTGCCCCCTCTTTTCCTCATTACCACAGCATGCACAAGCCCCAGCAGTCCCTCCCATATCTCTACGCCATGGAAGGAATGGGGTACCGCATGTTTCATGTGGAGCCCAACCTGCTGTGCCCCCCTCACAGTCTCTCCCTCCCATGTTCCCCTCCCTGGTGCCACTGCCACCCCTTTTCCCCCACACAACAGCATGCACAAGCCCCAGCACTCCCTCCCATTTCTCCACGCCATGGAGGGTATGGGGTACCGCATGTTGCACGTGGAGCCCAACCCACCACATCCCCCTTTTCCCCCTCCCCCCTCCCCTTCCTCCCCTTACCACAGGATGCACAAGCCCCCGTCTCTACGCCTTGGAGGGCATGGGGTACCACATGTTTCACGTGGAGCCCCACCCGCTGTGCTACTCGTGCATCGATGGAACCGCCTTCCCAGTCTACCGCCCTCGCTCACACACTCTCTCTCCCCCATCTCCCGCCCTTCCTCCCTTACTCAACCCACCATGCACAAGCCCTTGCACTTCCTGCCCTACCTGTATGCGATGGAAGGCATGGGGTACCGCATGTTCCATGTGGAGCCCTTCCCGCTGTGCTACCCGTGCTGACCCCCTCCCCTGCTTTCCCCCATCCCCTCTGTGACTCTGTCCCCAATGCTACAGCATATGCACAAGCCCCAGCACTCCCTCCCTTACTTGTACGCCATGGAGGGCATGGGGAACCGCATGTTCCATGTGGAGCCCAACCCGCTGTCCTCCCTCCCCCCTTCTCCCCCCCCACCTCCCTCCCCTCTTCCAGCATGCACAAACCCCAACAGTCCCTTCCCTACTTGTACGCCATGGAGGGCATGGGGTACCGCATGTTCCACGTGGAGCCCAACCCGCTGTGCTACCCGTGCATCGAGGTGGCGTTTATACATGAAGACCTGGTGGTTCCGCCCTTGAGCCTTGACTGTGCGGGTGTGCTGCGGCGGTCTCAGGTTTCGGACTATGTTGCGCAGTGGCTGCCTGGAGGAGGGGGGGGATGGGCAGCAGGAGGGGGAGGAGGTGGGGGAGGGGGAGGGGGAGGGGGAGGGGGAGGGGGAGGGGGAGGGGGAGAGGGAGGGGGAGGGGGAGGGGGAGGGGGAGAGGGAGGGGGAGGGGGAGGGGGAGGGGGAGGGGGAGGGGGAGCGGGAGGAGGAGAGGGAGGAGAAAGGGAAGGGGAAGGGGGAGGGGAAGCGGAAGGGGGAGAGGAAGCGGAAGGGGGAGGGGAAGCGGAAGGGGGAGGGGAAGCGGAAGGGGGAGGGGAAGCGGAAGGGGGAGGGGAAGCGGAAGGGGGAGGGGAAGGGGGAGGGGATGATGGTGCATAAGTGATCCCAACCCCAACCCCAAGGCCAACCCGCTATGTACCATGCATCGAGGTGGCATTTGTGCACGAGGACTTGGTGGTGCCTCCTCTCAGCCTCGACTGTGGGGCTGTGCTGCGGCAGTTCCATCCATGCCTGCGATGATGTTGCCGGGTGTGGAGCGGGGGTAAAGAGTGGCAGCAGCAGTGCTGACGCTGGCAGCAGCGGCGGTGAAGCTTGCAGCAGCAGTGGTAGTAGTGTAGGCGCTACTGGTGGTGATGGTGGTGGTGATGGTGGTGATGGCGGTGACGACAGTGGTGGTGCGTAATCCCCCCAAACCCCTCTGCTCGCGCGGAATCGATGTACGGCATCGTACCCAGGTTCAATTGGCATTGTTTCATTGTGAAACCACCTTTTTTCATCATGCTATGTTATAGCCTTGTAGAAAGTTATGCACGTCAAAAGGTTGTGATCAAAGCATGCCATACACAATAAGTTTGCATCTGTTACGATGATATGTGTGCTCCTAATATGTATAGGGTATGTTAGTGGCTGAGATGGCAGCCTAAGAATCAAGCACTATTATTAGCATGGGCTACATTTCAAAGCTAGTTGTCTTAATTCAAGGTAGGCGTATATGGGGTTCCCAGCTGTTGTGGAAAGGTGACGGCTAACCAATCAGGCGCGTTTGTGCGAATTTCAGCTGCCAATAAACTGGAGGAGTTGTTCGGCGAAGGATATGCACGTTCGCTAACCGACTGTTCACATTCGTCTGTCACAGAAGTCAAGCACACCGCGCGCTGACTTGGCATCGTCAACGTCGCAGAGAGAATCTGAAAGGGCACGGCACGGAAGCGGACTGGTCATTTGACCCAGGTTCGACGAAGGGGGACGTCGCTTGGGTTCTGCGACTGCAAAAACTGGCTGCCTGACGACGATGCCTTCAAGCAGAAAGAATGCAGGGAGGGACCGAATGCGCGACTACCTGAGACTCTCCCTGCGACGCTGTGCGACGGAAACGACCTTGACTTTGCCGAGACAACAGGGATGAAATTTGAGCTCTTAGTAAGTAGCGCAGAGTTTCCTAGGTACAAGATTGATGATCCGAACATCCTAGGTAACTATTGAAGGCCTACGCGCACCGGGGTGTGAATTCAGATCACAGACGTTTCTCTCCGACGCTTCTGCACGATTCCGTTACTACCTGAAGAATCACTAAGCTGTTACTACCTCTAATCGCTGAGTGCGAAAACGTAAGCAGTTTCCAGTACTTTTTTTCGCAAGCGCATTGAAGGACTATTTGATGTCCTAGTTAATGAATTCTTGCAAATACTTATTCTTTGCTGGAATACGCGCTGTACCTGCTTCCGACATGCGTGGCATGTCAACTACCTTATTGATACCTTCGAGTTCGGTTTTGTCTGCACGGCTTTTGTAGTAATTGTTTCCTCAGCTCACTCGTCCTTTCTCCAGAAAACCTTTATTTATTTATTTTTTTACAACTGTGTCCTTTCTCACCCAGCCATCCCTGACACAACATTCTGCCGAGCGTATCAGCCCAGTATTCATTTTCCGAGAGGCTTTGCAGCCATCTGGGCAGTGTTACGTTCCAGCTTTTGTCAAAAGAATAGCAGCTGTTTTTGACCTGTAATTATAGCGAACTACCCTGTCAGCCGTCGTTACTAGCGAGCAGTAGTCTGCAAGAAGCACCCCCCTCAGCAGTCGTTGCTGGAGTACAGTTTTATTCGTCCCACGCTTCAGAGCTGACGATACTCGGTTCAATATGGGAAACGGATCATCTAAAGACGGGGTTATCAACAAAGACGTAGGTGAGGCTTCTGTTACTCCGCTCGTAACTATTTGACAAGCATTTGACGGTTAAGAATGATGGCAAGAATCGATCCCGTTTCAGTCTGACGCGAACGATTACTTCAAAGCTGTTGTCTCTTTCTCAAAATTGTGTCTCTTTTATCTTTTTGGTCCTGTGCCCGTCCGGGCTCGAAGTATCAGCTCCAGCTGAAGCTAAATCCATCTCATTCTACTCGTTTTTTTCTCCCCCGCAATGCCTTCGCCAGGGTCCACCAAGAACTCGGTGATCTTTGTGCAGCCCGGCCTCAAGGGCGTATGTCAAGACTCGGCCCTTGCCACAGAGGTGAGGAGATCCAGAAGTGTGAGTGTTATCCCGTACTGCTTTGCCAGGATCCACCAAGAACTCGGTGATCTTTGTGCAGCCTGGCCTCAAGGGTGTATGTCAAGACTCAGCACTTGCCACAGAGGTGAGGAGAGTCAGAGGTTTGAGTGTTGACCCGCAACTGCGTAAATTGGATGTTGTATGTCAAGACTCGGCCCAGCCCTTGCCAGAGGTGAGGAGAGACAGAAGTGTGAGTGTTGTCCCGCAACTGCGTTATTCAAAGGGCGAACGTCTAAGACTCGGCCGTGTTTGCTCGTCCCCACACCAGTGGATGGACACCTATCAGTCCCACCCACCACCCTCAACCCCTCCTCTCCCCAACCCCCATCCCAGATTCCATCCACCCCCCCATCCCCCATCCTACCCCGCTCCCACCTGCCCACTCAACTGCGTAATCTCATCCTGTGAGACACAGTTGCGGAGAGTGGGAGATGCGCTGGTGGGGGAATGCGCTAGTTTGACAGGCACGACCTGTTGGGCCACACGTCTCCAAGGCAGTTCTTTTTTGTTTGAGGTTGATTCTGAGAATTCTAAAAATCAACCTCGAACAAAATGGCATGATCTGTCGGGCGACCCACTCGTCTCCAAGGCAGTTCTTTTGACCGTTTTTGCTCTTCGAGAGAAGACGACCACCCATCAGAGCCACCACCCTCAACCCCGCTCCTTCCTCCCCACCCTGCCTCTCTTTCCCCCCCATCCTCTCGCACTCCTCTCCCCCCACCCAACCACAGAACCTAATAGTCACAAGCACATCAGGGGAGGGAGGCAGTGCGCTGCTGGGGGTGTTTGACAGGCATGGCTTATTCGGCCACGTCAACCCGAGAACGCCACTATCAACCCCACTTCTTATTCCCCCCCCATCCGGTGCTCCTCCCACCCTCACATACCCTCACCTGCCACTACCTCCCTCCCATTCCTCCTCACCCCAACCACAGAACCTTATAGTCACAAGCACAACTGGGGAGAGAGGCAGTGCGCTGGTGGGGGTGTTTGACAGGCACAGGCTGTCCTTCCTCCGTCCCACCCCTTCCCATGCCCCCCCACGCACCCCCAGAACCTGATAGTCACAAGCACAACTGGGGAGAGAGGCAGTGCGCTGGTGGGCGTGTTTGACGGGCACAGGTTGTCCTTCCTCCGTCCCACCCCTTCCCATGCCCCCCCACGCACCCACAGAACCTGATAGTCACAAGCACAACTGGGGAGAGAGGCAGTGCGCTGGTGGGGGTGTTTGACGGGCACGGCTTGTCGGGGCACTACGTGTCCAAGACAGCTCGCGACCAGCTGCCAGAGCGACTCAATGCAGCCGTGCAGCACACCCAGAACGAGCTCGCCCACGTGGACGGGGCTGCGGCAAGGGACGTGTGGTGTGTGCGCCTTACCTCCCCATCCCCTCATCCCCCCAACCCCACGTCATATAAACCCCTCACCCCTCCCCACCCCTCCCCACGCCCCACCACCCTTCCCGCAGAACCTGATAGTCACAAGCACAAGTGGGGAACGAGGCAGTGCGCTGGTGGGGGTGTTTGACGGGCACGGTCTATCCGGTCACTACGTGTCCAAGACAGCTCGCGACCAGCTGCCAGAGCGACTCAACACAGCCGTGCAGCACACCCAGAACGAGCTCGCCCACGTGGACGGGGCTGCGGCAAGGGATGTGTGGGCGCGGGTGTTTGGCGGGGTGTTTGGGGACATTGACGAGGAGCTGAGGAAGGACCTGTTTCACAACAGGGACAGCGGCTCCACTGCAGTTGTCGCCCTCCGCCTTGTAAGTGGGTTTGTCGTGCCTCTGTCTCAGCTGCTCTGGTCATTGGGTGGGACGTGTGGGCGTGGGTGTTTGGGGACGTGTTTGGGGACATTGATGAGGAGCTGAGGAAGGACCTGTTTCACAACAGGGACAGCGGCTCCACTGCTGTTGTTGCCCTCCGCCACGTGAGTGGATTCTCTCTCTCTCCCTCTCGTTCTGCTGCTACTTTCCTCACTGGGTGGCTGTGTGCGGGTGTGTGGGGGCGTACTTGGGGACATTGATGAGGAGCTGAGGAAGGACCTGTTCCACAACAGGGACAGCGGGTCTACGGCAGTCGTCGCCCTCCGCCTCGTGAGTCAATTCTCTCGTCTCTCACTCTCAGGCTCGTCACTCATGAGTGATCTCTCACTCTCAGGCTCGTCACTCATGAGTGATCTCTCTCTCTCAGGCTCGTCACTCATGAGTGATCTCTCACTCTCAGGCTCGTCACTCATGAGTGATCTCTCACTCTCAGGCTCGTCACTCATGAGTGATCTCTCACTCTCAGGCTCGTCACTCATGAGTGATCTCTCTCTCTCAGGCTCGTCACTCATGAGTGATCTCTCACTCTCAGGCTCGTCACTCATGAGTGATCTCTCTCTCTCAGGCTCGTCACTCATGAGTGATCTCTCACTCTCAGGCTCGTCACTCATGAGTGATCTCTCTCTCTCAGGCTCGTCACTCATGAGTGATCTCTCTCTCTGTCTCTACCTGCTGCTCTCTCTGTGCCGGGTTTTTTGGGTGATGTTCGGTGGGGTGTTTGGGGACCTTGATGAGGAGTTGAGGAAGGACCTGTTCCACAACAGGGACAGTGGGTCTACTGCTATTGTTGCCCTACGTCTTGTGAGACACCTTTTTCTCGCTCTCTGCTGCTTTGTATCTGGGCTCTCTCTTGTCACACACGCACTCCACTCCACTCCACTCCACCCCACTCTACTCCACCCCACTCCACCCCACTCCACTCCACCCCACTCCACCCCACCCCACTCCACTCCACTCCACTCCACTCCACTCCACTCCACGTTTCAAGGATCGGATCTGATACCGACG